ACGTACTTAGACTGTGATATAAAAGTGCCAGTAGTAGTCTGCTTAACTTGCAGCCCAAGAAAATACTGTAATTCCCCCATCATGCTCATCTCAAACACCTTTTTCATTGAACTACAAAAGGAATCACACATATCTCGGCTAGTTGACCCAAAAATGATATCATCAACGTAAATTTGGACAAGTAAAAGATCATTTGACTGCTGTTTAGTAAATAGGGTCTTATCAACAGATCCTTGTTTGAATCCTTGTTCATGAAGAAAAGCAGTCAAACGTTCATACCAGGCCCGTGGGGCCTGTTTGAGGCCATATAAAGCTTTTCGAAGCTTGAAAACATGATCAGGAAACTCACTACTGATAAACCCAGGGGGTTGTGACACATAGACCTCTTCATGAATATCACCATTTAAAAAGGCACTCTTAACGTCCATTTGAAATAAAGGAAAATTTTTAAAACAAGCATAAGCACATAACAGTCTGATTGACTCCAAACGTGCCACAGGAGCAAACGTTTCATCATAGTCAATTCCTTCTTCTTGACTGTATCCTTGTGCAACTAAACGAGCTTTATTTCTAGTAATTTTCCCTTGTTCATCCGTTTTGTTTCTAAATATCCATTTTGTCCCTATAACGGCTTGATTTAAAGGGCGAGGAACCAAGTCCCAAACATGGAGATACTCAAACTGAGTGAGCTCCTCTTGCATAGCAAGTAACCATTCCTCATCATTTAAAGCCTCCTTATAATTTTTAGGTTCATACTGAGACACAAAGGCGTATTGACCAGGTATGTACTTACCTCGAGTTCGAAGTTTATCATTTAGGTCACCAATGACTTGCTCTACAGGATGCCTCTTCTGTATATGAGGAGGGGCTGTAGGTTGATTTGAGATGGGATCCTGATGATCCTTAGACGAAACTTCAGTTCTTGATTTAGAGCTGATTTCTGCTGCACTGCTGTCAGATTCTTCCTCAGGTTTTCTCTCCTCAAGATCTCGAATCATCTCAAGCATGTCATATAACAGAGGTTCCTGTTCACACTTCTCATCAAGACTATTAGTATCATTGAAAACAACATGAACAGATTCCTCCACCTTTCTAGATCTCTTATTATACACACGATAAGCTTGCCCTTTAATTGAATAGCCTAGAAATATGCACTTATCAGACTTGGCATCGAATTTTCCAAGGTAATCCTTGGTATTTAGAACATAACAGGGGCAGCCAAACGGATGGAAATAAGACAAGTTTGGAGTTCTATTTTTCATTAATTCATAAGGAGTTTTTCCCAACCATTTTCTAATAAGAACTCTGTTAATAACATAGCAAGCAGTGCTGACTGCTTCTGCCCAAAAGGATTTAGGCAGGTTGTATTCGAGGAGCATAGTACGAGCACATTCAATTATGGTTCTGTTTTTTCTCTCCACTACCCCATTCTGTTGGGGAGTTCTAGGAGCTGAAAAGGTGTGAGTGATCCCAGATTCATTGCAATGAATCTCAAACTCATCAGACACAAATTCTCCACCGTTATCACTCTTGATAGTCTTGATTTGATCACTATAGATATTAACAAAAGTTTTAAATTTTCTTAAAGCTTCATCTTTATGGGATAGAAAATAAACCCATGAGAAGCGAGAATAATCATCAACAAGAACAAGCACGTAATTTTTTCCTCCCAAACTAGTCACGTTACATGGGCCAAACAGATCCATATGGATCAGTTCAAAAGTGTTTTTAGTAGTGATATCTGGCTTGACTTTGAAAGATTTTTTTCTGTGTTTACCAGCAATGCAGGTTTCACAGAAGAAATCATTTTTTTCTTACAAGACAGGTATCCCACGAACACAGTTTGACTTAGCAAGTTCTACTAGTTTAGGAAGACTAATATGACCCATCCTTCTGTGCCAGAGCATCTCTTGCTGATTTGAAACAATGAAACATGTTTCATTAAAGGCACTTAAGTCATTTAGGTCAATGACATACATGTTGTTAACCCTTTTAGCAACAAACAAAACTTTACCATCTCTTAATCTCTCAACTGTGCAATGATCAGCTTTGAAAGCGACTTGATTACCATTGCTACATAGTTGACTAATGGATAAAAGGTTGTGTTTCAACCCATCAACTAACAACACATTACGAAAAGAGGGCAAAGGCTGTTGACCAATGGTTCCACACCCAATGATGTTACCATGGCCATTATCACCGAATATAACTCTACCACCATCAATAGGTTTTAAAGAAGTGAAAAGAGATTTCTTACCAGACATGTGGTGTGAACAACCACTATCTAAGTACCATTTTCTCTCTTCTTGATCAGATTTCTCTGATAGAAGATTCATTTCATTAGTTACCTTGGATAGTTCTGCGGCCATAAATGCTTCTTCATCAGATCTGTTAACTTCAGGTTCTGAGTCGTAATCACTCCACGACGCCTTCATTGCTCTTTCTTTAGCTTTCAGAGTTTGGGGGCAATGAGCCCTTATATGGCCGAGCTTTCCACATTTGTAGCACGCCTGAGATTCCTTTTCCAGTTGACCTGTTTCAGAATTTCTGGTCTGCTGTGACAGCAGCCTGTCTTGATAGCCAGATTTGTTACGATCATAAAAGGTAGGTCTTGACTCATCAGATAATCGTTTCTGATCATTTTTATACTTTAGCATACGGTGAAACTTCTTGCTAACTAAGGCAAATTCCTTATCAAAGTCATTTTCACTATCAGAGTCATAATTCACAGCTTTGGATTTGAACGCAAGATTCTTTTTACGTTTCTCATCTTCTTGCCCAACTTGTTTAATAACATGCTCATAGCTAAGCAAGGAACCTATGAGCTCATTGATAGGTAAAGTCGTTAAATTCTTAGCTTCCTCAATCGCAGTGCGCTTAGGAAGCCATTCCTTAGGTAACGATCTAAGAATCTTCCTATTTAGGTCCTTAATTTGAAAGCTTCTTCCTAACCCTTTTAATTTGTTAATAAGCACAGTAAAACGAGAATACATTTCATGTATTCCTTCACCATCTACCATATTAAACGTTTCATAATCATGCATCAACAAATCAATACGAGATTCCTTGATATTAGAGGTACCTTCATAGGTGTTTTCCAGCGCGGTCCAGATTTCTCTTGCAGTCTCGCAGTTCTCCACTTGATCCGCTTCATCTGGATTCATTGCTGACTGGAGTACATGCATGGCCCTCTGGTTCAACTGAGCGCTTTTCTTCTGCGCCACAGACCAGATTTCCTGCTCGTCTATGTTCATCGGGATCGGTCCGTTCTGAACAATTAGCCAAAGTTCCTCATCGACTCCCCACATGAACTGTTTCATCCGTTTTTTCCACGCGGTGTAATTCGAACCGGTGAAGATGGGGGGATGATTTAAGGTGGCTTGCCCAAATGACCCTGACGCCATCGAATACCTTGGCAGCAGTTAGCTTCGTCAAGGCAGTGGCTCTGATACCACTTGAGATCAGGTTTGAGGATGAAATTAGGTCACGAAAAGGGAAAAGAGGAACAGATGAAGAAGACCAGAGAAGAATGACTTTTGGCTATCTACTGATCGAAACCTGAGACTATAATACAACTTCACTGGGCTAAAAGGAGAATAGTGGGCCGAGACAGGGCTGAAAAGATTAGTTGATTTAAGATGGGCTGAAGGCCCAATCTCTATGCTGCAAATCCAGCAATCAGCTTTTCTCTGCCTAAGAGTCTCGACGAACAGAACCAGAGCAGCAAGACACAACGACTGAGAGTGCAAGGAAGAAGGTGCAGAAAAGTAAAGAACACACGATGTTTTTAACGAGGTCGCCCAAGTGCAATGGATACTTCCTCGTCCCAGAATACAGTCTGGGAGACCCTTTTATTGAATCTGGAAATTAAAGACTCAAGTTGTAAAAGAAAAGAACAACACAGCAGAAGATGAACATAAACTGAATCAAGGACCAAAACCTCAGATCAAGCTGATCTGAGAAAACCAAACCACTAGAGAACCTCTTCCCCTCTAGCACACCCTCTTGCAGAACTTAAGTCCTTTACCACTTAGTTCTCTTTCTCCGCAAAAGTTACCCTGCTCTGCTGATAAAGGAACATATATATAAGGTGATGAAGCTAGCCGTTGCACCAAATCAGGAAGGCTCCCAGAATTGTTCCAAAACGAATCTTGATTGAGCAATTTCCCTTTTTGGAGAAGATCAGCAACGGTCAGAAGACAATTCTGACTTTTTAAAGTCCAACAATATATGAAATTCAAGCCTTTCAGGAACCATGTGCTGAAAGTGGGGTCAAATGGGTAGCTAAGATATCCCTTGGCAGTCAATTTAGGGTTCAATTGTTACGAAATTCAAAGGAAGTCAGAAAATTTTCAGATCAACTAGCTGCAACTGCAAATTCAGGATAACGGCTTTGACAGTGGATCTCTCTTATCTACTATGTTACAGTGGATCTCATTCTTCATAATGTCATGAACCAGTTGCTCCCAATAACTCGAGTTGTTGGGAGAAGGTTATGCTCGATCTTATACCACTCTCTAACACGCCCCTTCAAACGAAAGCCAACCCACGGGCTTGAAGTTTGCACAGGCCCACCATAACATGTGCTTGAAAGACAACGGTTAATATTGGGGGTCGTGGGGATTCGAACACATGACTTTTCGATTCTAGGCTCTGATACCATGTCATAAACCAGTTGGTCCCAATAACTCGAGTTGTTGGGAGATGTTCAATCGTGGATCTTATACCACTCTCTAACACATAATTCACTCACTCAGAACTGATACAATACATTCCCACCATGTGGGACACTCCAATCCATCTCTAGGTACACTGGTCCTGACCAATATGTTGGCAGGACTACTCATAAATCTGGATAATCAAAAGGGTAGAAGTAAAAGATTCACATAACAGACCAAAACCCTGGATCAAGAACAGAAACGGGTAAGAAACTTAAGAGCCCTTGTTATCAGACCCTCCAAAAAGCAACAAGCTTTCTTTCTTGTAACCTTCGATAATATTCAACTGTGGTGGTTTGAAGAAGAAGAATCCATGCTTTTGGTTCTTTGAATGGAAGATGGGGATCGGTGAAGCCTGCAGCGGAACGAGCCAGCATGCGAAGTTGGCGAGCATAAACAAGCTGCTGAGTTCTTGCTACTACAACTGCTGCTGCTACTTGGCTGCCTGCAGCTCATTGGTGAAGCTTGAAGCTTTGTGGATGAAGAACTTGTGTGATGATCAGCTGATGGTTGTTGATGATTATGATCCATTGGGACATCCACTTTCAGATCATGAACCCTACTCTGGCTATCATCCATTTGCCCTGGAACCTGCAAAAAACCACAAGCTCGGTTGATGGTGAAGATCAGTTTTGCCTGCTAGGACTTGTGGTAAGTTGGTGCAGAGAGAAAAGGAGACAGGAAGTGGGTTTATAAGATAAGGAAAGGTACAATTTGGATGGAGATATTATAAAGGGGCAATCCAAGCAAGAGAAAGGATGAAAAAGTTGAAACCTTTTGGTTTGATAATCAAATCCGCCATCAACGCACCCATGTTCTATTACTATAGTCCCACTCACATCTCTGTATATATTATCGACATCATGCTTGCATACTTTCTTTTTGTTAAAGCTACAACCACTTCTTCCTAGTCTATCTCCCAAGATAAGATAGAACGGAAGATCCATTTTTATAGTAACTTGAGTGTCGGATCGAGATCTCTCTACCAGTTTCGTTTAGGCGTAAATTTCTGCAGTAATGATTGGACAGTTTACAATCTGGAAAAATTTGGTATTACTTAATACAGGAGTGTATGCTTGGGACCATTGATTTCTTTCCTCCTCTGACCTCTCCTTCCTTTGCATTGATCGTTATCATGGCAGACAATCTCGTGCTTGTCAATTGGCTTATCTATTCTTGTGAGTCATGGCTTTTCTTGCTGCCCCACTAGACTAGACTATCCACTTTGCTTTATGCCTCTCTTCTTTTCGTGAACAATGCCAAGAACTCTGCGTGCTGCCTGCCTGCCTGCGTGGGAGTGGGGAAAGTGAAAGGTATTTGGGCCGAGGAAAAAGCCATATTTAATCTATCGAGTCCATCGTCACACCAAGCTTCACTAGCCCACTATTTAGGCCCATGGTTGCACCGCTCCCTCCGCTTCCAGCAGCCAGGTTGGTTAATTTGTTATTTGGAACGTTGTCAGAACCGAACCGAACCGAAGTATGACCCAGTAATGTGAACGAGTAGCACTTTATTGGTCCAATCGGTATTAGATCGTTAAAAAATTGTTAGAGAACCGATACCTTATAAAAAATAGAAGACACATAAGATAGTATTAAATAATTTGGTGACTAAAATGAAATTTACTTTACAAGTACCACTTAGTAATTTTACATATACATATATATATATATAGTGGCGTATTCGGTGCACCCACTTTTTTGGGTGCATTCATAATCATCTTTCTGAGCATGCGATTCATGTCCACACGGTATCAATTGTTGCTTATGATGTTGTGAACAAGAAACTCATGAATTTGTAAAAAAATCATTCAAGATTTACTTTAATTTGAAAAGGGTTTAGAGATTTAGGGTTAGGGTTTATAATTTGGCGGTGTCTTTGGTGCATTCAGTGCACTCGCTTCATAACCGTCATTTTAAACATGCGATTTATGTCAAAATGATGTCAATCGTTAAAGATTTACTTCAATTTGAAGGATTTAGAGTTTAGAGATTTAGGGTTAGGGTTATGGTATACAATTTTGGGTTTAGGGATAGAACTCAAAATTGGAGGTCTAGGGCTTAGGGTAATCCACTAATTAGTTGTTATCATATGTTATATCATCATATTACACTAATTTTACAAATTAAAATTCAAAATCCGAAACCTTAAGACTAGTTTTTGAGTTGGGTGTAATGAACGCACTCATTTTTGTGAGTGCACCGAAGTAGTCACCTATATATATATATGGTGTCTTCTACGGTACCCCGGTAGAAATCCATGTACCGCATACCTTGAGTATGAAAATGCTATGTAGACCTCAAATTAGCAGAATTTTTGGATCTGATACTATACACTAACCCTTAATGAGTGAACCCTAGTTCCGAATTATCTAAATCATAAACTATAAACTATAAGATGGTGCATTCATTTTTTGCCTTTATTTGGACGAATCATAACCGTCGATTATTATTCTAATTAAATTGATCTTGGAGTATAAGATTTAGAGAACTGAGACCTAGATTTTGATCTTTAAGAGTTAGAGTATAATATTATGTCCGAAAAATCAGTCAATTCATGGTATGAATAGCGTTTTCATACTCAAGGTATACGGTATCCTGGATCTCACCATGGTCGCCCCTTCTTTTCTTCCTTCTTCTTCTTTCTTTTCTTCTTCAGTTCAAGTTTGGACAGAGAGGGCGCCGACAATGGATGGCGCCGGGAGTGAAGTCTCTCCATCGAAGCATGTGAACTTTCAGACTCGCTTCTTTCTCTCTCAGAGTCCCATTCTCCACTCCCCGTCGGTTGGGTTCTGCTGTTAGCAATTTTTATTTTTCAATTTTTTTCTTTTTCACAGAGGACGTCCAGGAGTTGAAAACCGATCAAGCGGTTAATCGCTTCGGCCGCTTACCGACCGTCCATTCTGATCGTTACGCCTTTTTAACTGTGCCGAGCCGAGTTGGTGGCCGGATGCCAGTTTTATCGATTGGACCGACCGGCTCGGCTTAATAACACTGGTTATTTGATATTTCCCTGTTTTTCTTACGTATTTCCTTATCCTTTGAACTTCCGGATTAGTTTGTAGCTATAAATACTCCGGAGATCGTCACAGTCGATTCTTCTTCCGCCTTTTCCGCTGTGGAAATCGATCGTCGTCGGCTCCTCCTCCGCCGTCCATCAGATTGCCGGCCTGGTTCGATTTTCACAAGCTTTCCATTCCTTCTCATCTCCAACAGCAGGAACCCTAAGACTGGGGATTTAATTTCGCTGCTGATTGCTGGTTATCCTTGCCCCAACGGAAGAGGGAGCTACTTTGTGGGAGACAGCAGATAGTACCGAAGCAGGAAATAGTTCGGTTGGTTTTGGCGGCTGCGTTCACCTGGCGGCGACTCGATTGGAGGTTCAGCATACAGCCGGGATGGATACAAGTTTCGCCAAGGAGCTTTACTCTGAAAGCTTGGAGCTTTCTACCGCCAAATTGAATGATCCCGTCACAGCCCACCGTAAGCACTCTACTGACCTCCATCTTCGGGGTAATTAAGCTTCACTGTGCTAGTCTTGATGAATGTTTAGTACGTAAAGTTTGTAGTGGAGTTCCTGATTTGAGGTTACTGGGAAAGTAGTTGCGTTTTGACAGAATGACTTGTTATTAGTGCAACGTAAAGAACTGAATCTTACTTCTCTAGCTGTTTTGAGCTAGTTGATCGTTTTGAGATACATGAACATCATTTGTTTCTGGAGGTGCGTGGGTGTTGTGAAGGTGCGAGGATTTTCAATCTAATGAATCAATGATTGAACCATCATGACCGAAGTCGGCTACATGCTCGATCTGGATTTGTGCACATAGTACAGCATGGAAGGAGTTCTACAGCTCCTTGATAGATTTGATGTTGACTGACAATTGTAGAACATGGGAGGGATTTCTAGTGCATGGGGCTAGATGCTGGTTCTATATTGTTTTCACTGCCGTCACAGATTTTTCAAAGCTGTGGCCTTCCTATAGCATTAAACAAGAAATGCCATCGGAAGGGGCCAGAGATGTCTATCCTTTTCTTACTTCTGAAGCCTATACGGCTTGTATATTCATAATACAATAGTGAATAGCCATGTTTTTAAAAAGCAAGAAATATGTTATATTTCCCTTTCGCTTATGACCACTGTGATTCTGAGATCAGTCAGTATGTTAATGGTAGCTGTTCTTTTCATGGCTTTGAAGGGCATGAACTTTTACAGGATTCGAGCTTATGTGAAGGTGACTTCGAGGATGATGATGATTGGTCGGATAAAACTTCCGATTTGGATAGGGTGTGGCAGAAGAGACGCTCCGAGTTTTATGCAGTAAAATTTTCAGGCTTGATTGTAGTTTTAATTCTGTTTTCCACCCTGTATACTTATCTTTCTTGGACAAGTTATATGAGTCTTGTTTGGAACAATTCCAGATTGGATATCGTGATGGCCTGATTGCTGGGAAAGAAGCTATCGCGCAAGAAGGATTCAATAATGGGTTTAAGCAGTCAGTGATTGCAGGATACAACTGGGGCACTGTTAGAGGCGTTACCAGTGCATTTTCTTCCTTGCCGGACAGTTTAAAGGAAAAGTTGGTTCAAACAGAGGAAAAGAGAAAGAAATTTCAAGAACTGCATGAGTTGGTGAATTCTATTACAACAACCAATGCTCTCAAGCTATTTCATGAAGATGTACTGGCAGAGGAAGCAGCAGGGAAGAAGATTAAACACAACGAGACTGGTGAAAACCCGCAAAAGGGAAGTTCCAGTTTGAATTCAAGACATTTTGGACAATATGCCGAAGATCTTCACTCCCTTCTTCATGATTCTCCAGCAATCGAGTCAAATCTTTTGGCAGAGTAGAGAATGGTTACATATGCCAAGTAAGAAGTAGCATATTGACACATTTTTATAGAGCTACTAGAGATTGAAAGATGTGCTTCGCAGCGGCATGTGGTGATATAAGTGTTTGACGTGTTGTTTTGGAAACCCGTTTACTAGAATAAAACGGCGAGATGAGCAACATCACAATAGGTGTAAGTAGCTGCATAATTTGTTGATCCATCCAACTTTCAGGATTTGTACGTTCGTCCGCATCTATACACTTGATCCTCATCTTGCGGAAATACAGGAATAAAACATGGTAAACTGGCTATGAACGAAGAAAATAGATTCAAACTCGAAAGTTGCAACTACTAAGTCAGACTCATTCGACAAACACACCAATACATCCAATCGGGAAAAATGCCATTCTGTTCAAGTAGTCCCTCTTGCAGTAGTGGCATGGCAACTATGGCTATCATGTTGCTTGAACTAGCACAAAATGAAGGGATCATGAGCAGTGGGTACATAAGAAAATAAAGCACGTAATTGTATATGTAGATTAATTCATAATGTAAATATGTTGATTAACCTGAATCTACTATGAATTTGTGCAAATGGTGATAGAGTTTTAAGGTTCCGAGAGTGATTGAACAATTATACAAAATATAATAGCAGGACGGAACCAGAAACAGTAGCATATTTTGTCTTGTAGTGACCTAGATTTTTTTTTTTGACAAAGGGCATAGAATTTTCATTACTTGTGGCAGAAGCCAACGCTTACAGTAGAGGAGCAATAACATCAAGTACATGAATCCATTCAAGAGGTAGTTGGCTTTTCGCACATGATCGAGCCACCCAATTCGCTTTGGAGTTTCTTCTTCTGCTGATGAAGGCAAACCTAATGAAAGGGTGGTTGATTGAGAGATTCTTGATGCGGTTGATCCAGCCTGCTGCTCGCCATGGCCATAAGCCCATTGGATTGGCAAGAGCTTTAATGAGAGATAGGCAGTCAGTCAGGATCAGGCATGGTGCTGATAGCTCCACAGCCAGTCGAGCTCCCTCCCAAAGGGCCTTCGCTTCTGCTTCAAGTGGGGAAAAACAATGCAGGGACTCAGCTCTCCCTTCACAAACCTGTCCATGGCTATTCGTAACAACGATGTCATATGCCGCTTCCTGGGAATCACTGAAGTAGGATCAGTCACAGTGTATCTCAAAGTCATGAGTACTCGGCGGTGGTGAGGAGAGATCAGGGGGTGGAGTGTGCTGAGAATGGTGGGGCTGGGCACCGGTCTTCTTAGGGCAGGTGTTCCATTGATGATGCGCCCTCTGGGCTCTGGAAGTGGTGATAGGGGGCCATGGAAGAGTTCCTGAGAAAATCCGCTCATTCCTGGTCTTCCAAGTCTGGCACAAAAGGAAGATTACATGCTGAATGGTGTTTGTAGAGAACCTTGCTTGTAGGGAGACCAGCCATTCCAGAATGTTCGTGAGTGGGGGTGGGCAACACAGATCAGGCCATTCATGATTCCATCCTGCCGCGGCATGGGGGCAGAGGAAAAGGCAGTGGTGAAGGGACTCTGATGGATAGTTGCACAAAGGGCAAGCTTTGGAGGGGGAGCATTTCCTAGCAAACAGGTTCTCCTTTGAAGCTAGTGCACTCTTTGCACATCTCCATATGAAGAATTTCAGCTTCGGAGGGAGAGACAAGCTCCACAGCCATTTCCATTTTTCCTTGGCTGCTTCTGGGAAAGGGTTCACATTACCTTGGGTGCCACGAGTTTGATTATGGAACAGGTGATACGCTGATCTGACCGAGAAAGAGCCTTGCTCCGAAAATCTTCATGCCCAAAAATCATTCATGGAAGTGGGTCCAATTGGTGTGGCCGTCGTGAGAAGGAGCTCTTGTGGATCAAGAAACTGCTCCAGAAGGTCAAATTTCCATTCTCTAGAAATGGCATCAATGTATGAGTCCGTGGAAGATGAATCTGTTAGTCTGATATGGATGAGAGGGCCTGGTCGATCAAAGGGCCACGGATCCTAAAACATCTTCGTTGTCTCCCGGCTTCCAATGACCCTGACAATTCCCTGTTTCATCCAGTTTTTGCTTCCCAGATGCTTGCCCAGATCCAGGATGCCTTGCTTCCCTTCTTGGCTGAGAGGAAATCAGCTCGAGGGAAGTAGATACTTTTTAACACTTTCACCCACAGTGCTTCAGGGTTACTGAGCATTCTCCAAGCTTGTTTTACTAGCAAGGCCATATTGAAGATGTGAAAGGGTCTGAAGCCAAGACCTCCTTCCTCTTTGGGTGCATATAGAACGTGCCCAGCTCGCCAGTGAATAGTTCTTTTTGCCACGTTCCCTCCCCAGAAAACGTTTTTGAGCATGGAATCCATTTTATTGGTGGTAGAGCGGGGGAGGAGGAAGAGGCACATAATGAAAGAGGGTAATGCTTGAAACACTGCTTTTAAAAGTGTTTCTTTACCTCCTGGTGAGAGAAGTAAACTTTTCCAAGATTCCCCTTTACTTTCCATTCTTTGGATGAGAAACTGGAAGGTTTCTTTTTTTTTTTATCTTCCCCACTCTGTTGGGACTCTGAGGTACTTCGAATGGCAGTTAGACACTGCGAAGCCAATTGTGTGAATTATCATTTCTCTTTCATCATCGGGAACATTGTGACTGAAGAAAATCGAGGATTTATCCCTGTTGACCTCTTGTCCTGTGATCGATCCATATTCATTGAGGATGTTCAGAATTTTCCCAGCTTCACAGGCTGAGGCTTCTCCAAAGATGGCTGTGTAATCTGCAAAAAGACAATGTGGGAGTAGGGGGCATGATCTGTTGAGCTTCAATCCTCTAATATCTCCTCTTTGTACAGCTTTTTCAACCAGGAAGGAAAGGGCATTGGACATTAAGATGAACAATAGAGGGGAGAGCGGGTCTCCTTGACGGATGCCCCTGGAGGGGGTGAATTCCTCCAAAGGTCTCCCGTTGAAGAGGATTCTGAACTTCACTGAAGCAATGCAAGTCCTGACCCATCCACACCAAGTCTCACTAAAGTCATATGCTTTCAGTAGCTCTATGAGGAAATCCCATTCAACCAGATCATAGGCCTTCCTCATGTCGAGTTTCATCATCATATTCTTATGTTGTCCATTATTACGCTTTTTGAAGTGGTTTAGAACTTCATGTACAATCACAATATTGTCTTGTATTTGTCTCCCTTCTGTAAAGGCTGATTGAAGCTCATTCACCAGGCTTGGCAGGTAAGGCTGAAGCCTGTTCGACATTATCTTGGTGATTACCTTGTATCGGAAGTTACAGCAACTGATAGGCCTGAATTGTCCAATGGTCTCAGGGGCTTCAGCTTACGGGATGAGAGTGATGTAGGTATCATTCCAGTTAGCTGGCATCTCGTTTGTGTTGAAGAAATTGATGATCTCATCGCAGAATTTGTCCCCAATTAGGGTCCAATAATGTCTAAAGAAATATCTTGTGAAGCCATCCGGTCCCGGGGCTTTGTTAGCTCCAAGTTGAAAAACAACCTTTCGGATTTCAGCTTTATCAATGTTGGCATTCAATTTCACGTTGTCTGCTTGGGATACCAGAGAGAGGAGTCATTGAGTAAAGAAGGGTCAAAGGATCCTGATCTGGTTGTGAAGAGGTTGAGGTAGAATCCATTGACGTGATCCTCAAGGTTCTGGTCGTTATTCATCCATCTTCCATTTTCATCTTTAAGTTTCACAATGCGGTTCCTGCTTCTTCTTTTGATGGTACTAGCATGAAAGAAGCTAGTGTTTTGATCTCCTTCTTGGAGCCAACTGTTTCTGGACCTTTGTGCCTAGAATTCTTCTTTCGATTTCCAAGCGGTATCCAGTTCCAGCAGCAAAGCCTTTTCTTCCTCAATCACCTCTAAATTTCTAGTCGGGCCTTGTAGCTCTTGGAGTCTTCATCTGATTTCCTTTTCTCTCTTGATTTTGTTTGCTCTATCCAATTTAGACCACCTTTGTAATTCTTCTCGGCAGTTTATTAGAATCTCATGCACCCTTCCCCCGTTGTTCCAAAGAGTATCAATAATCTGGTTACACTCCCCATTCTCCCTCCATCTTTTATCAAAACGGAATGGGGTATCTCTGTCTTGCAGCTTCGGGTGTAAATCGATTCTGATTGGACAATGATCCGATTCAACAAAATCCTCATGGAACACAGTGGTTGCTCCGAACTTGAGTCTCCACGTAGCAGAGCAAAGACTCATGTCAAGCCTTTCTCTGATAAGGTCTGGCCCCTGTTTTGTTAGAGACCCTCTGATCTAGGGTTCTCCCGGTCGTGTAGTAAAGAATTGGGAATAGGAGATCAATTAGGAATTAGGTCTGACCTAGATCTGCTTTGCTTCCCCCTTTTGTTAGAGACCCTCTGATCTAGGGTGCTCCCGGTCGTGTAGTAAAGAATTGGGAATAGGAGATCAATTAGGAATTTACCTTTCTAGGGATTAGAGAAGAGTATTTAGGAGCAGATTTTGAGGAAGAAGGTTGGAAGAGGGCAGGGCCCGACGATCGCACCCAGAGAGAGATGAAGAGAGGAAGTCGAGTAGGGAGAGAGATGATTATTGAACGTAATTATTCTCATAAAATCTAATTGGCTAATCCCACTTTCAGAGTGTTTATAATCCGACAATTTCCCCATAACTACCTAACTTCTCCCCAAGTACCTAATAATAAAAAAACTCCCAAAATATCCACAAAAGTACTAAAACAATCCAAAATGACAAATTAACAAATGGTTAAATAAACATTAATAATATAGTACAGTTCTAGAAACCCGAGAAGACTCGGTTTCTAGCATTTCATCCCCCTTTAGAGAAACCTTTCCCTCAAGGTTGCACCTACGCACCTGGATCCGTCTTCCCGTCCTCTGTTGCATGGTCCTCTGCTGCATCCTTCCAAAATCCCACCAGCATCATCAGTTGCAGTTTCAAGAACTTGTGAATTACATTGTAGTGATCATTGCAGTTGAAGCACCAACCTTCCCACCTCTTGTGCTCGATCTCAGCTGAGGAAGCCTCACAAAGCATTTTAAAGAAAATCACGACCCAATTGGTTCTGGCTTGGTTTCTGCAGTGGGCATCGCGCCACTGCTGGTGTTGCTCGACGCACTTCCTCGGCTACTCTATCACATGCCACCCCTAGCTCCACCCTTCGGCTTTTCGAAAGTGATCTACAGTGCTCCTCCTGCTTGCAACCTTCAAGCCTTAAAGCCAACCGCAAGGAGTCGGGCTCGAAGACTTTCATCACAAGCACTATCTAGGGTCACAGTCCTGCCAAACA